CCATGCGTTGATCGACTTAATCAAGGCATCCCGAGACTCATAATCGCCCTCAGGAGGGAGACAATCGTCCGGGAACGAGACAATTCCTCCAACTAGGTTTTGATGCATCCTCGGGGCACTGCTAAACGACGAAGGAGATGTTACTCTAAGTGGACGCGTCAAATTCGCGACGCGTTGTCAGTGGCCGACTGGTGGCGATGGGCGACTGCAGTGGTGTGGGGTGGGGTGGGATAGCGGGCTTACATAATGCGCACGGGTACCCGTGAAATTTTAGAGACACGGGTACCCGTGTCCCTATGGGCCCCCGTATCTGGCAGCTGGCTGACTCAGCACGCTCAGTGAGCGAGGGGAGATGCACAGACCGCAGTGCCAAGCCGCCAGTCTTATCGATAGATCAAATGACAGAATCCCGTGCACCGCAGAATTGTCTGACACATTACTAGTATCTCGATCGCAAAACCCTCATAGGCGGTTCATTTGACCAAAACAAATATTATCCGGATTTTGAGAATCGTCAGTTTGATTATAGAGTTTTAAAAAGGTGTAAAAAAGAGCAAAAGGGCAAAAAAAATATGCCGCAACCATGAATCGAACATGGGTCACCTCGGTCCCATATGACCCAAGTTCGAATGAGCTTGGAAGCCACAACGAGGAGTACTAACCACTATACTATTACGGCCTTAGTTGTTGTTGAGGAGTGGTGCAAAACTTTTACTCTATAAGGTGGGGCAAGGCTGTGGAGGAGGGTCCCTGACCTAACTGGACGTCACCGCCTCTGTAGTTGGCCGCCACTTGATGGGGCAGGCGGCAGAATCTATTCAACCCCCGCAACCCCGCCATTGCAGAGGTGGAATTACGTCGAGTAATCGCCAACCTTAATCCTGAGCTCAGGCAAGCTTCAAATTGTGTATTGCACAGTCCTGGACTTAAACACTAGCTTTTGTCGATGAACCCAAAGCGAATGAAAGGCATTTAAATCCTACGGATACCCAGAAAATCGAAAGTCATTTCATACCACCAACCACCGTCCCTCCAAGTTAGACCTTTCGATCAAGACCACGGAAGCCATTCACCATGTCTCGCCATCAAGCTGTCCGAAACCTCGACTACAAAGCCGCACTGGACGAGTACGATGGCTACTCAGAAGAGGAAGATGAGCTGAGCCCTGAAGACCGGGCGGCGATGACGCAAGGAACCATCGACGTTCGAGCAATACTTGGGCCTGTTTCATCCAAAGTGACAACTGCCCAAATCGAAGAGGCTCTCTGGCACTATTATTACGACATCGACAAAACAGTTGCCTATCTGGTTTCCAAGTTTGTTGACCCATCTCCCCCAGCAGTAAAGCAACAAAAGGCATCGTCAAGCTCGAATGGTAAGCACTTTTTTTTCCCGTGCTCTTTCACCGCCTCAATGGACCCTTCCCTGGACGGACCGCATGCCTCAGAAGCTCCAAATCCCTCACTCTTGTTGACATACCGTCAAGTCGATGAATACGGCAGCCCTGTGGTCAGCAAAGACATGTCTCCACCATCAAACTCGTACTACTTCCGAGACATGCCTTGGGGAAATATTCCGAAGCACCGGGAAACTGTGTTCATCCCGCCGACCATGCCTCAGGGAGGTTTGTTAGGCGGCTCTGGAGCACCGCCCAAAATGTCCAAGCTTCAGATGCTGGCAGCTGCCCGGAAAAAGAAGGCCGAGGGGAAGAACGCAAAGGAGAATGTTGAGCAGACCCAGGCCAAGATGTCGGAGCTTTCTGTCGACGAAAAGCCCGTTTATAAAGAAAACATACCTTTGTCTGGGGGGTTCAGCAAGCGGCTGAAGACCTCAGAGACGACTGCCGCAGGGCGGATGCCTCTGGCGGATTCAGAACGATCAAGGCCTGAACGTGCCGACCGAACACCTCTTGAGGTCACAGAACCATCCAAGCCTTCTGTTGAACCAGAGGAGAAGCCAGTTGCGGAAAAGGCTCCACCTTCTGGCTTTGCTCTGACTCTGTTCGGTCCCGCCAACGCTGCAAAACCAACACTACGAGAGGTCTTCACCTTGCCCAATGCTGGACTGTCACCTTCGATTCTTGAAGCCTTCGCCAAACCCAGCCCGGATGATGTTGTACTTGCGGCTCAGGCGAAAGGTTCGCTTTCGACAACGAAGAAACGCTAACATCGTTGCTAATAGTTGAAACAGCTGGAAAGAAAGTCGCACCTGGTCCGAAGAAGAAGGGTGCGGCTTCCACCGACGCTATTACGAGTGAGGTCAAGGCCCTCAAGATTGAAGACCCTTTGCCAAAGAGTCGTAACCTCAATGTACTATCCGAGTTTGAGCAAAGTAACAAGAAAAAGACAGCGAGTTTCGTCGTTGTCGGGCACGTCGATGCGGGCAAAAGTACAATGATGGGACGGCTGCTTCTGGACCTCAAGGTGGTCGACCAGCGTACCGTCGAAAAACTCCGACAAGAGGCAGACAAAATTGGGAAGTCCTCGTTTGCCCTTGCTTGGGTGCTGGATCAGCGTGTCGAAGAAAGAACCAGGGGAGTCACGATTGATATCGCCACCAATCGATTTGAAACGGCAAAGACAGCATTCACAATCCTCGATGCCCCCGGACACAGAGACTTCATACCCAACATGATTGCCGGTGCCAGTCAGGCAGACTTCGCTATTCTCGTCATCGATTCAGCCACTGGCGCTTTTGAATCTGGACTTAAGGGGCAGACGAGAGAACATGCCCTCCTCATTCGAAGCATGGGTGTGTCTAGAATTATCGTAGCAGTGAACAAACTCGACACTGTCAACTGGGCGCAAGATCGGTTTGACGAGATCAAGCATCAAATTTCTGGGTTCTTGACCGGGACGGGATTTCAATTGAAGAACGTTGCGTTTGTCCCAGTATCTGGACTGAACGGGGACAATCTGGTGAACAAGTCAACAGATCCAGCGGCAGCATGGTACACCGGCGCGACACTTGTGGAAGAGCTGGAAAACTCGGAACCGATCGCGAGGGCGCTGTCCAAACCATTTCGCCTCACCATTGCCGACCTTTTCCGAAGTCAACAGAGTCCGGTTACGATTTCCGGTCGAATCGATGCTGGAGCTGTCCAAGTGGGTGATGCGGTTCTTGTCCAACCGAGTGGAGAGAAGGCATATGTCAAGTCACTTCTGGTAAACGAAGAGCCAGCAGATTGGGCTGTGGCTGGCCACAGCGTGACGATCCACCTCAGTGGTATCGACCCGATCCATGTCAGACTCGGCGACATTGCCTGCGATCCCTCCAAGCCGATTCAATGCTTAGATACCTTCAAGATCAAGGCACTGGCGTTCGATTTCATCTGGCCGACCCCACTGGATGTTCACCGCGGAAGACTTCATGCGCCTGGGAAGATCCAGTCGCTAGATGCATTGTTAGACAAGGTCACTGGCGCTGTCACAAAGAAGAAGCCGCAAATAGTCAAGCCGGGGAGCGTTGCGAGGCTTACTGTCAAGTTGGACAAGAAGGAGCCTCTGGAGGCGGGGATGCGGATCATTTTGAGGATGAATGGTGAGACGCTGGCAGCTGGACTGCTAGAGTGAAGGGACAGGCTTATTGGCGCCGAGAGCATGAAAGATATATTCTATGGAGCATGTGCTTGAGCATCAGCGTTTTGAAGTTTTGGATAGACTCCCGAAACTCGTCATGAGAGCAACCATAGCGAAGTGAATACAGTACAAATACAGCAATCAAGGCCGTAATAGTATAGTGGTTAGTACTCCTCGTTGTGGCTTCCAAGCTCATTCGAACTTGGGTCATATGCTCGGCGCATATACGTGTGATGTAATTCGTGATGAGCCAGCAGTAGATACCGGTACGTATTTTCACCGTGGGGTAGAGAAACTTGAGACAGCCCCCTTCTTCTCCTCCTTCACGTGTACGGAGGTACATCTCACTCAACTGTTACTCGTGGGATACTGATTCCGTTTGACTGAGCTCCCCTGGCCTTCGTGCTGCATTTCTGACAGACAGATATCCATCCGCCGTTGGTAATGTACATATCATGCGTCACGGACATCGATATGTAAGTGACGAGCAGGAGCCCGAGCATCCTTTGAGGTTCAATAACTTCTAATTCAGGAAACCGGAGCAGCATCCCGGCCGACAAGGCTACTTGTTACACGAGAGGGTCCGAAGAAGCCACAGTTCCCGGAAACAGGGGTTCGGTTGAGAGTATCATCTTAACTGGTTTGTATGAAAACTCGGTGAGAGAATGTTAAGATTATGTGGACAAATCGGGGCTGAGATGGAAAAGCAAGGATCGCAAAAAGGCCACTCTGGCAGAAACAGGGGTGTGGCGGTTGTCCCTTTGCCGCTCGCCGCATCGGGAGGTACGGTACCATTTCAATGTGGGGAAAAGGGGGGAACATCGAACGGGGGCGAGGCTGATGATGGAAGCAACTGGAAATATTGGGGCCCAGCAGGTCGGGGAAGAACAAGACAGCACCAAAGAGGTCAAGCAATTTCAATATATTTCATGCAAGATCTCCAAAGCCACTCTACGTCGGAGAGTGATTACCTACGGAGAGGCCAGAGACCCCTTTATGAGATGCGTCCCAGAGCGCATATGTGAGATAGCTGTCATAGATCTCTTGTTGCGCCGCATCTGAACCCTTTCGTAGTGTACACGTGTGAAGGATCAATCGGGCCAACCCGTGGTAAGTTTATGCGGAAACTTCTCGATGAAGTTGGAAAACGCAGGGCCAGGAGCGGCTGGACTTGTGATTGTTCTAGAGATGTGGCTGGTTTTCCCCTTTGTCGAAGTTTCGAGCACATGTGGCTGTTTACAAAGTTACAACAGAGCCCGGCCAAGGAGCAAATGGCGACTGGCGAGCCACCTCAGCTATGAACCATTACCGCTAGCTCTACCAAGAATACGGATAGAATGTCAATCCAAAGCATGCAAATGACCACCAGAGTTGCCAGATATGAATAAAAAGTACAGAAATCAATCATGCGGATTCTGGACAGTTCGCTGACGGGGACAACGGAAGGAACCAACCACGTTGCTCCCCTTGGCGGCTTAGAACCACCCCTGTCATCCGTGCTCTGCGATTGCCTGCTGTTTGGGTGGCCCGGTGGGGCGGACTAAATTTTGGGTAAGGTGGCTCGAAGCTGCTGCCGCCTGCCGCAGAAGCTGTAACTGACTGCTGGCCACAAGCAGATTGACAGAGGACAGATTTACCAATTCTCAGGTTTTTGTCCACCACATAAAGACGAGCTGCTTCCACTTTCACACCAATCCACCATTCTTCCCGCCAACCAATTTCCCCAAGTCTAATTTCTTTCTCTCTTCTTATTCTGGACAAGGAACAAGAAACCGGGGGAACCAAAAGAGCAATTCCAATTCTCTTTTCCTTCGCGCTATCTTTTCCCACGTTTGCATCGCTGTCGCCAACATCGCAACTCGGTAGTGGGGTGGACTTTTTCTGATTTTTCGTCATTCACACACACAAGAGCTCAATGGAGCCTCGATCAAGAAGCTGGGCCGTAGGCCTCAGCATCATCGGGCTTTTCGCCCTTCTCTTCTCTGCTGGCTTCGTCCAGCAGGTTCGCGCTGACGATGTCCAAGAATATGGCACCGTCATTGGTATCGTAAGTGTTCCTCGCCGACTCTGCCACCTGTCCTCAAGCATTTTCAAAACGAGC